AAGAGGTAAATCTTTCTGCCCCACCCTGTAGGTGGGCATACGAGAACGTCGCACACAATAGCCCCAGTGGATGGCATCACTGTATATGTAATGCATGACTCCGTCCGACCAACCGGTACAGTCAGAAGATCCAGAAGTTATTTGATATGCTGGGGGAGGCATGCTCCCCAATAATATGCTTCATTTTTGTTTTTCAAAAATTTCTCGGATCGACGGACTGTGATATATTATGCCTATTTGTGCTGTTTAAATCAAACGTATTATAAACGTTGTTGGTTTTCCTCTCAATGCGAGGAAAGATGCGTAAGGTCGTACCTTTGGGGCGCTGCAGAGGGGGACAAATACTCCAACGTGCCCCTCAAACCATCAGTGGTCACGGCGGTGAGCGCTATTTTGCTTCAAGTTGCATCTAAGTGTTCAGCACCCACAAAGTATTCAGCATCGTATTTGTTTTGTACTCACAAGACCAGGCAATTATGTGTTTTTTTCTTCAGTTCAGGTTCAGGTTCAAGTAGTAGGCTAGTGTTGGACTTGCGTTTATTCTATGCCGACATCGAAAATGCCTCGGTTACTGGGTCTTCCATTATTATGTTTCAGTTGATAGCCCGTTGTCCGTGTGTCTTGTCCTTTTTCAATTAATGTCTCTCCTTCAATGAAAATCCATCGCAATTTGAACGTTTCGAACATATCTCCACTTCACATTAGCTTGCCAGAAACACGCTTGACCTCGTTCAGTGTGCCAGGATGGAGAACCAACTTTTCATATGATTTAACGTGAGGTTTTAGCAACAATAGATGTTTTTAAAGAAGAAATGCAGTTTGTTATTTGTTAATAAAAGGCTTATGCCGAAAACTTAGGACGTGCATTAACCCTCGCCCGTAAACGGTGTTTTGCCACCTTCGCCCATGCAGGGGGGGGGGGTTGGTGCGACCCCCCTGGCGTTTGAAAACGGAACGTCGTAGAGCTTAGCGGAAAAGACCAACGGATTGCTCTCAACGAGATCTCGCGATTGGTGGTATATTTTTTGGTCCTAGGTCAACATTTGACCTACTTATGACCGGTCAAAGGTCAAATTTTCGGAAAAATCTAACCTTTTCAGATTTCCGCGCTGATTGCGGCAAAACGGTAAAAGATATCGACTTGAAACCTTCACTATCGTCAATCGTGATCCTTGATCAATTCTCTATCGTTTGGTGTATATTTCGATGTCATAACTCTAAAAATGATGCGTTGGGAGCATCGGAAGTCTGCAAGGTCATTTGTGCATTGGGTCACGTCAGGCGTGTGACGTCACTGACCTGACCCTGACCCAAAATGAACTACTACAAGAAACAACCGACGATGCCTGAAATGGATAGCAAATTCGAATTCAGGGCATCAAAATACCCCGAAAAGGCATACAAGTGCAAGAAGTCATTACAGGTCAACCGAGGTCACTGACCTGACCTTGACCTTTAGTAACCTTCACAATGTCAACGGACATTGTGCCAATGTCAAATCAGCCAGTTGTGATTCTAAAACAATCCATCAGTGTGTCAGGTCAGTCGGCATTTATACCAATGTGAAGCAATCTCCAATTTAGCGTAAATCTGGCCGGAGGTTGTTCCCTTTATGACGTCATAACTCCGTGACCTGACATGACCTTGACAAAAAATTTTTACCAAAAGTTGCGCAAAGGATGCCCCAAAGGGTACTGAAAATTTGAGCAGTTTATCTGAAACGGTTCGGCGTGTAGCTAAGAAAAACCTCAGGGGGGGGGGGGGTTGCACCAACCCCCCCCCCTACATGGGCGAGGGTTAAGACACAAAGTGCAATTAAAGCTAAAATCAAAACTCGTAAGCTGTTTTACTGCAAGGTAGAGCAAGGGTGAAATTGACAGCACGAAAGCAAACGTCATTCGACTTTTTTACTACGGCACGTGCTTTTATGAAACACAACCGAGGATCTTCCTACCGGTCACCAGTAAAACTGCGCTATAGTAACCTAGTAAATTTGCAACTCTAGGTAAAAGTAATTTTTGCTTTATGAAACAGAATTTTACTGGTCAACAGTAAAATCGTGCTTTTTACTATTACTTTCTACTACGGTCCCGTAGCTCAGTTGCCGTTCCCGTAGCTCAGTTGGTAGAGCGTTGGACTCCGCGTGGTGAGAGCACGCGTTCCCGGTTACAACAGTCCGGGTTCGAAGCGCGACGGGCGCTTGACATTTATGGGCCTCCTGACAGGTATGGTTGCGGTTGGTGGCAGGCCGTAGCCAGGTGAAGTCAGTGAGGGGACCGGCCGTGCGCGGCTATGTGCGCACGTTAAACTTTGGACTCTAAATTCTGCCATAGAACTGGAATTGCGCGATCGGAGGGTAGAGGGCAGGGTCACCGCAACAAGCTTCGCTTAGCGGTGGCTCTGTCCTTGTGAATCCTTCCCATCAAAAGGTTCGGACTAAATTTATAAAAAATATAAAATTAAAAAAAAACTAGACAAAGCTTTATGAGAAAGGCTACAGAAGGTAAAAACTCCAAAAATAGCAGTTTTTACGAAAGTGTTTTTTTTTTCGGCAAAACTTTTGACTAAAAAAAGCCACGACATTACTTTTGCCAGCATCGTGTTCCTCCCGTCGTCGTGACGCTTCGAAGGAACTATAATTTGACCTTGAAAGGTCAACTTGAAAATTTGACCTCAGGTCAAATTGACCGGACCTGACCATAACCTGACCGGAAAAGGTCATGTTGCATATCAGTCGATCTGCATCGTGGAGCCGAACACATCTATGCACAGTGATGCAAATGGGGTTCACGAGTGGCCATAAATACCCAAAAGTCAAGTTTACCAAGTCGAGTTAATTGCGATATGGCCGAGTAGACAAATGTTTGGGGCATCTGAAATCACATGGCTTTCATGTTTTTGTCAAAACCGGCCTCGTGTATAATCGTCAGAAGTCGTGACATTTTCTAGGTCGTAAAATGACGGTCAGACACTCGCAAGTTCAAACGCCGCTGGTTTGCGTTCATTTCGTATAAATTGAATTTTGAAAAAATTATGCATGAGAATGATCCCCAAGGCCCTCTGCTTCTAATGCCGGGTCACAAAAAGCCGTATCTTATTCGCTTTGGCTATTAATCATCATGTTGTAATCTCAGTTTTTTACTAAGAAAAAAATGCTTTCGTTTCACCTACAGCACTTAACACAGTGTGTACCCGTTAGTCCACCATACCATAGCCTTCCGTAATCATTTCTGAGTCGCATCGTGAAAGAATTAAGGCGCTAGCACAGGGCTGACCGGCGCTACAGAGGTTTTTGTCCGGGCGGTCGGGTGCCGCAGTGGGCGCGCAGTGGGCGGGTGGGTGCCGCCGCGCGGCGCGGCCGCCCGGGCCGCCCGCTGCGCCGCGGCACCCGACCGTGCCGGACGAAAACTTCTGTAGCGCCGTTCAGCCCTGTGCTACTGTGCTAGCGCCTTAATTCTTTCACGATGCGACTCAGAAATGATTAGGGAATGCTATGATATGGTACACTAACGGGCACACACTGTGTGAAGTGTTGTAGGTGAATTGAAAGCAAATATTTTTGGTAAAAAACTGCGGTTGCAACATGATTACAAATAGTTAGCTCACCGCCAAACCAAAATAGATACGGCTTTTTATGACGTGGCATTAGAAGCAGCAGGTTTCGGGGATCATTTTCATGTATACTTTTTGCAGTTTGTATGACATGAACGCACGCTAGCGGCACTTGAATTTCAAGTACCTGACAGTCATTTTACGACATCGAAAATGTCTCGACTTCTGACAATCCTACACGAGGCCGGTTTTGACAAAAACATTAAAATCATACTTTTTCAGACACCCCAAACATTTGCCTGACTGACCATATTACGATTTATTCGATTAAGTTAACTTGAATTTTGGGCCTTCTTCGTATTTATGGCCACTCGTGAACCCCACTTGCATCACTGTGCTATGGCGTTTCCATCGCTCAAGCATGCCTCTATCAGAAGTTATTAGTGAAAAAACTGTTAGATACTTTTCTTGACCTGAGATGACCTAGGGGACATAACGAGGGGTCACAAGTGCCATTTTCCGGTTCAGTGTGTCAATTTTACCTGCATCCCGAGTTCGTGCAAAAGAGACGCTTTTCAATTCTCTCCCATTGACTTATAATGGAGAGGCCGCAGAATTGACTTGACCTTAGGTCACCGATATCAAAATTCCGAGATATACGTTTTATATGTAGATACTGTTACTCTTATCAATCGCTGAAAGTTTCAAGGCAATCGGTCAGTCGGTGTAGCTATGACGAGCATTCTATTTTTTCTGAGGTGAGGGCACTTGGTGTGACCAGGTGACCTGACCATAAGCGGCCTGAGTCCGAAATTTTCACAACATGTGTGGAAAAGATGCACAAACAGGTGTGCCAAAAATGGCGCGCTCCGCGCCGCCGTTTTTGAGATATCTGCGAAAAACTGCAGGAGGGGGGGGTGTTAAAACTCTCCATCGGCCCGGCGCAGGTTATGTAGCGAAGAGAAGGAAAAATATGCAGTTTTGTAATTTAAAAAAAAGTTGGCAGCACGTAACGGTAGTCCGCCCGGATCAGAATCAGCAGAATTTGAGGAATCAGCAATACCAAAAACAAGTCGAGCCCCTTAAAGTTTTCAAACCTTGGTTATCCCTTTAAAATGTCAATGCATTTCAAACATAACGTCAGCGCATTAATCCATAAAGAATGACTGTGAGTGTTTGTGCCCACAGTGCCCGCCCTCGTGTCGGCGCTGTGTTGTCCAGCATTCGTTGTCCCCACTTTGCTGTTCAGCGCCTGTTGTCCGCCCTCATTTGTCTGTCGTCTCTTGTCCGCCGTTTGTTGTATGCCGCCTGTTATATGCCCCCTGTTGTCTACCACCTGTTTTCTGCCGTCTGCACTATGTCACCCACACACGCTGATGGCGCCAGGCAGGGACTGTCACGTGATTTCGGTCGCCATTGTCAACAATATGTGTCACTGGCCCTCACAGATGAAGTACGCCAAAATCAACTCGGTTGTAAACGGAGACGTCAAAAAGGGCGTGGTCTACTCGACGTACTCGTCACTGATTGGCGAATCGTCCACGGTGGGCGGGAAGTACAAGACGCGGCTCAAACAGTTAGTCCACTGGTGTGGTGACGACTTCGATGGACTGGTATCCTTTACCGAGCATAAAACGGCGATGATTGCCGTGAGGGGGAAACGGCCGCTGTTGTTTGAAGGGAAGTGTGGCGTTTTCCAGGATTAGTATGTTTTTAAGGCGCGCACTGGTAGAACCAATGTACGACCCCCCGCACAAGGATTGGTTTGTGTGACACAGCTTTGGTAATCCACCACGAAAGGTGCTTCTTGAAATTACCATATTCTGAGGCATGCCATTAGCATTAGCGCGAGCCTCGCGTGCGTGCGGTAATAAAAAAAAACTTTTTGTATTAAGCCGCATAATGTTAACCCGCGCACCGACGGGGGTCCTCGCCATCTTAGAACCGGCGGGGGAATGACCGCCCCCCTGAGATCTCGAGAATGAAGCAAGATAGCGTCAAGCGGTAAACGGCATGGGGTACGCACGGATAAGGTCTACAATTTTATTAAGGCCATTTTTGAGTCAGGTTAAAGATGATGTCACACCCTGGGTCAAGTGAAAATTGCGGGGCTAGAAATGAAAAGTTTTTCTCGAATAACTTTCGAAGTAGCGAAGCTAGAAACAAACTAACGGCGGCATTGTGATCCTCTCGTCAATCTGCATCGAATCATATATGTGTTGACCTCGAAAGGTCAAGGTCAAAGGTTAAGCTAAGGTCACGTGACCTCAACGTCATCATGTATATCATTCGACGTGCCTTGACGAGCTGAACACAATGAGACCATCCGTGCGGCTGTATCTCGTTCCTGTAACGAACAAGCAAACAACCATGTGTGACCCTTGATGACGTCACATGACCTTACAGCTGCCCAACAGCAAAGAACGCCTCAATGTAGTGAAGGTTGATCGTATATCAAGTCATCGTAGTCATCGATCGTATATGGAGGAACTCCACACTTGCCTGTCTCAACTTACACTTGTCCGTGTTGAATATCACCTTGTGCTGCTTCAGACGAGCCAGCACTGCAGCCAGTCGCTCGTCATGCTCTCTGCCGTCTGCTCCGAAGATGATGACGTCGTCTAGGTAGACCTGCACACCGGCCAGGTCCTTCAGCATCGCCTCCATCACCTTCTGGAACGCCATCGGCAGGCTCTTGGCACCTTACGGACAGCGCCTGTAGGTGAACAGACCTTCGTGGCATACGAACGTGGTCAGTGGCCTCGAGTCTGGGTGCAGCTCTAGCTGATGATAAGCCGACTTCAAGTCCAAACACGAGAACACTTTGGCACCCTGCACCTTCTCGAGCATGTCCTGCATGGCTGGTAGTGGATGACCACTGGCTTCGATAGCCTCGTTAACGGCTTTGAGATCGACACACATTCTCAGCTTGCCGTTTTTCCTCCGTGACACCACGATCGGTGATATCCAGGGCGAGCTGTCCACTTTCTCGATGATTCCCGCCTCCTGCAGCTCTGTCAGATGCTCCTTCACCTCTTGTCTCAGGCCGAACGGGAGTGGCCGCAGCTTCTGCTGCACAGGGCCAGCATCAGCAGGGTTTCGGAGTGGTGGTAGTGCTCTTCCGACTCCGACTCCGACTCCGACGCCGGGTCTGATACAAAGGGCAATGGTGGCTGCCAAAATTCCGCGTGATATGACGCGCCATGCTAGGTCTACAGGGTGTCAGGAAAGTCCTGGCGCTTTTTAACATTTTTCAAATAAATGCCTTTGGTCCATAGACACTCAACAATAGAACAAAACAATGACCAGGAACACCAAGCCACATGCTTCTGCTAAGTGCCCATTCATTGTAACCACCGTCTGTGCGGACGATGGCCTCGACGCAAGGGCGGAAACGCCTGCGGGTTTTGACGATGCAGGACATTTCCTGTCCTCCCATGCTGTCATGATGCGAGTCTTCAGCGACCCCAGGCTGGGATGAGAGGTGGCCTAGAGCTTATTCTGCAAAACGCGTAGCATGCCTTAGTCGAGCGGGTTAAGGCTGGAATAATAAGGTGGTCTAATCTTATTTCACCACGGTGATCTGGTCCGCCGAGCTCCTCTGTCAGTTTGGTTTGGACGGCAGTGGCGTTGTTGGAGGGCGCTCCATGCTGTTGAAGTGCGAAATGACCCTTAGGGCAAGTCGCCTTGATGTCATGTCCAGGAACCCCTCGTGGACCAGCCTGTCAGTACTTTATTTGACCTTGACGAAGATGATGGAACATTTGTGTCCATCAGTCCCCAGATTTTCTTCGATTGCCGCTGAAATGCTGCTTCAGTCTCAGCAGCTTAGACATACCGTGGTCGTAACTGAGTGAGAATATTTTCTAAGAAATTTCCGATCCGGAATGCCCCTTTGCCTGCTCAACCGTTCGCCGGGAAACGCCGCATCGCGCTGCAACTCGCGCCTCGTTCAAGAAGCCGCACCGGGCCCCCGCGCGCAGGCTCTCAGCGACAAGGCGCATCTTCGCCCATATGTATACCTAGCACTGAAAACGGTTTCAATGTCATATTTACGCCACCCCTAGCTGAGCGGTGAACGAGAGGTCATATCTGCGGTGATTGGTTGAAAGTCCAATAATCACTGCGCGCGTTAGATGACGTCCAAAAGAGGCGCTAGAACTTTACGGACACCCTGTTCGCGCACCGGGAGATCGCTCCGGTTTCGTTCGGTTTCTCCGGTTTCACCATTTCTCCCACGTGGGCGCAGCTGAATCCTTAGAGACCAGCGGCCGGCGGCCAGAAGCACGAGTGTGGCCGTATCATGACCACGGGCATCGCCATCATGTCAGTTTGTGTTAGCACTTTTCGGAGCGATAAAAGAAGAAAGTAAATATACAGTTGTCATTAAGTCTTTGACACTGGATAATACACGTAGAAGTTATGACGCGAATACAAAATGCTTGCCTACTGAATTATGACATAACTTGAAATTTGTAAGATGCAATGTTAAGTTTTGAGAACAAAAACAGTTGTGTGAAAAAATACCTTATTTATGATCACCGGAAGCAAATTTTGCCGTGGGGGCACTGGTTAAAAACAACTGAAAAGTGATAGCACGGATTGACTTCAGTTAACTTTCCGGAGTCGGAGTCGAGGCAGCTGGACAGACTCCGACTCCGACTCCGACTCCTGACTGCTTGCCACGACTCCGGGCGACTCCGACTCCGGGCGACTCCGACTCCGGCTCCGACTCCGACTCCGACTCCGACTCCGACTCCGAAACCCTGAGCATCAGGCTTCACCCGAAACCGGTGAACGAACCCTGTGATCGCAGGCAAGATACCATCAGTTTCCTGAACCGCACACACAGCTTCCCCGTTCCTGACAGACAGTTTCAGCTCCATTTATCTGCCCAACAGCGGAGTCTCTGCGTCTACCGCCCACACACGGGCGGTGGAGGTCCTACCATTGCAGGCACTGACCTCAACCTGAAGAGCTCCTCGAACCGGAAGACGATGGCCACCGCATCCTTCGAGCCTCGTAGTCGTTCTGATGAGAGTCACGTCAAGGAACATCTTCTGATACATGTGGAACGGCAAGATACTGACGGCAGAGCCTGTGCTAGCCAGCATTCTCACCGACTTTCTACACATCGTCACAATTGTCCACAGTGCATCCGGGTGAGACGTGTTTACACTTAACACCCGCACAGCTTGGACCTCACGAGCTCTAGTGCCTGGACAGTACTTGGCGTAGTGCCCCAGCTCGTTACATTTACGGCAACGTCTACCACGTGCCGGACACGCAGGTGATCGGGCCTTGTGAGGTCCTCCACAGCTAAAGCACTAGCTAGGGGTAGTGGTAGGGGTAGGGGAAGTGGTAGGGGTAGTGGTAGGGGTAGTGGTAGGGGTAGTGGTAGGAGTAGTGGTAGGGGTAGTGGTAGGAGTAGTGGTAGGGGTAGTGGTAGGGGTAGAAGTAGTAGGAGTGTGGTACAGGCCGATGCAATATGACTTGATGACCTGTACGACCTGGCCTCACCGAAGGTGACCTGGCCTGACCCAGTGTGAACAGGGCTGACCAACTTGACCTGACGTGACCCCGTATGACTCAAATTTCATCCAACTAAGCCCTCAGAATAGTTATCATTTTCAAAATTTTCCTCTGCACGTTTCCGTCCATATCTCTGCTTCCAGACGAAAAATCAATTTAAATCAAACACCATTCGAAAGCCCCCGCAGGGGGTTGGCAGTGGCCCGGGTCGCTGTTGGACTGGGTTCCTTGGGCCCTTACCCTGCGGCGGCCCTGGCCTCGGCCAGCAAGGGGAGTAGCGCCCCCTCGGCCCCAGCTTGACCCATGCTTGCTTGCTTTGATCGCTGGATGGACAGATGGTACGGCCCGATTTTTCTTGGTTTCCGTGGTTTGTTTCTTCTGCGCGGTCCTTGTTTGCTCTTGCTTTGTTTCCTTACCGTGTGTCAGTGTTTTGTTCGGTCGCTGATTTTCTCATTCCTTTTTCACCCCCTTTTTCGTTGTTTTTTGCACCCGCAGGAACACAGCCGAGTTGGGCTAGTGTAAGGGGAGTGGCGTCCCCTCGGGTACCAGCCGGTTTTACTAGGCTAGGCGAGCCGACCCGTACCCCAGGACAACGGGATCCTGGAGGTTGAGCCCCCCGTCGTGCGGAGCCAGTCGCGGTGGCTGGGCAACACGCCTCTTTGGCCCTGAGTTCTGTAAGGGCGGGACACTCAGCGGGGCGCCGCACTAGCAGTAAGCTTCTGAGTAAACTTCCGCAGTAAGCTTCTGGGCGTAAAAATATCAAACAACTTCACGTGGTAGGAACATGTCAACGACGTAGTAGCAAGAAGTTCTAGAGCTTTATACTTGCTTTATGTGCTGAGAAGATTCAACCCTCCCCAAGGACAGCTACTAAAAGTGTATGTTACTTACATTAGACCACTGCTGGAATACTGCGCGCCAGTCTTCCATGCTGGCCTCACCGCCAATCAGGCTCAGCAGATTGAGCGAGTGCAAAAGCGGGCGTTAAAAGTGATCGCTGGGTATGATAACACCTATCAAGATTTGTTACATAAATTTGAACTTGAAAGCCTCGTTGATAGACGGGAGAAGATGTGTCTTA